TGCATTTGTAATTGTTGATGACTTCTCAAGATATTCTTGGGTACTGTTTTTGGGAAGTAAAGATGAGGCTTATAAAAACTTTAAAAGTTTGGTCAGGCGTTTGGAAAACGAGAAGGAAACAAAGGTTATTAATATTAGAAGTGACCATGGGGGGAGTTTATATCTGAAAAGTTTGATAGATTTTGTAATAAAGCTGGGATAGCTCATAATTTCTCTGCACCTAGGACCCCTCAGCAAAATGGTGTGGTAGAAAGGAAGAATAGGACTCTGATAGAGATTGCTAGAACAATGATAAATGAATATAGCTTGCTTAAGTTTTTCTGGGCAGAGGCTGTTAATACAGCCTGTTATATAATTAATCGTGCTCTAATCAGGTCCAAATTAAACAAGACACCTTATGAGTTGTGGAAAAACAGGAAGCCAAACTTAGGATACTTTCATCCATTTGGGTGCAAGTGTTTTGTGCTTAACACTAAAGACAATCTAGGAAAATTTGACTCTAGGTCTGATGAGGCAACATTTCTGGGTTACTCGAATCATAGTAGAGCTTACAGGGTATATAACAAACGGACTCTCAAAGTTGAAGAGTCCATACATGTTGTGTTTGATGAATCTACTAGTAAGTATGGAGATATCTTCGATGAGGATGATGATTTAGGACTGGGACATCACTCCAGAACGAATCAAGAAGCAATTTCTGAAAAAGACAATACTACTGAAGTAGTACAGGATAGCAATCTGGAAAGAGACACTGAGGAAATAGCTATTCAAGCACCACCTCACATACAGAAGAGGCATCCACCCTCTCTGATCATTGGGGATTTAAACAAAGGTATGACCACTCGATCTCAGAATACTACTGTGCACACTGCCTTTGTTTCTCTGACTGAACCTAGAAATATACAAGAAGCACTAGATGATGAGTTTTGGACAGGGTCTATGCAAGATGAACTAGGATACTTTGAAAGATTAAATGTTTGGAACTTGGTACCTAAACCAGAAAACAAACCAATAATTGGAACCAAATGGGTCTGGAGAAATAAAACTGATGAACTGGGAATGGTTGCTAAAAACAAATCTAGACTTGTAGCTCAAGGATACAGTCAAGAAGAAGGTATAGATTTTGATGAATCGTTTGCCCCAGTAGCTAGATTGGAAGCCATTAGATTATTATGTGCCTTTGCTGCTTCCAAGGGATTTAAATTATTCCAAATGGATGTTAAGAGTGCTTTTCTAAATGGTGAGTTGAAGGAGGAGGTGTATGTTGCTCAACCTCCTGGTTTTGAAAATCACAAGTACCCAGATCATGTATATAAATTGAACAAGGCTTTATATGGATTAAAACAAGCTCCTAGAGCTTGGTATGAAAAGTTAAGTAATTTTCTGATCAGTGATGGTTTTCACAGAGGATCAGTGGATAAAACTCTTTTCATAAAATCTGTTAAAAGTCATACAATATTGGTTCAAGTTTATGTCGATGATATCATTTTTGGTTCATCAAGCTCAAGCTTATGTAAAGAATTCGAAGCAACCATGAAAGGGGCCTTTGAGATGAGCCTTATGGGAGAGTTAAAACACTTTTTAGGGCTGGAAGTTAAACAAAATAACAAGGGTACATTCATTAGTCAGTCAAAATATCTATCCAATATGCTCACCAGATTTGACTTAACTAATCTTAAGTCAGCACAAACCCCAATGGGATCAACTTCAAAATTATCAAAAGATGAAAGTGGGGTTTCAGTCGATGTTAGACTATATCGAGGAATGATAGGTTCATTGTTATACCTAACTGCCAGCCGACCTGACATTGTGTATAGTGTAGGAGTCTGTGCTCGTTTTCAAAGCTGTCCTAAAATGAGTCATCTATCTGCAGTGAAAAGAATATTTAGGTATCTGTCTGGCTCTAAGCTGTTGGGATTATGGTACTCTAGGGACTCTAGCCTAGAACTTCTCAGCTATAGTGATTCTGACTATGCTGGTTGTGTTCTTGATCGTAAGAGCACCTCAGGCACATGTCATTTCCTTGGTACCTCTCTGATTTCCTGGGCTAGTAAAAAGCAGAGTTCAGTAGCTTTGTCAACTGCTGAAGCAGAATACATAGCAGCTGGACTTAGCTGTACTCAATTGCTCTGGTTAAAATACCAACTTCAGGACTATGGTTTGGAAATAGGGTCTCCCTCCATTCTGTGTGATAATACTAGTGCTATAAATATGACCAAAAACCCCATTCAGCACTCCCGTACAAAACATATTGAGGTTCGATACCATTTCATTCGAGACCTAGTTCAAGATGGAAAGATTAAACTTGAATTTGTAAGCACAGACATGCAATGGGCAGATATTTTCACTAAACCTTTAGGAATAGAAAAATTTCTGTCTATAAGAAATGAACTTGGCTTATTTTGTCTCGATGAAATCCCTTCCTCTTGATTTCCGGATATCCTAAATCAAAATATTCTCTTTTCCATCTCTGGAATTCTTACTCCTCTAACTCTGATACACCTTCCTTTTTCTTAACTCCTCCTCTAGTATATAAGCATAGGGTTTCTCTGCAAAACCAACGCAGTCTTTCAAACTTCCAAACACTTCCCTTATCCTCGCTCAAAAATGGCTCCCACAAAACGCTCAGTTGCAACACTCTGCTGTGTTCAACAACAAAGGGTTTTGCAATGCTGCTGTTTATGCACGATATCTGAGACGATTTCGTGATCGTCCAATCTTTCCCTCTCTGTCAATCCATCCCTCTGGATTCTCCAAGTATGACATGAATATTCCTGCTCTTATTCACGGTCTGGGGTGGGAGTCTTTGGTGGAAAATATGAGGTTCAGTTATTGTCCAGAAGCCGTGAGATTGTTCTATGTGAACATACAGCGCGGTCCTGGAACTGTCCCTAAGTTTTTCACAACCATGGTGTTCAATTTCGAAATCAAGGTTACTCCTGAGCTACTGGCAACAGCTCTTGATGTCCCTCACGGTGGTCTCCAAGCTGGCACAGACAGTGAGTTTGGGGATCTGGGATTCGATCTGGTGCATGCATTGAAATCCGTCACTCGTGACATCGGTCAGTACTTTCCCTCTCGTCTGGCTGCTGGTCGTCTGCCAGATGATCTTAAGGTTCTACACTTCTTTATTACCAGAAGTTTCCTACCTCGAGATCTTTCGAGTACTGATATTCTCAATACTTCTGACCTATGGATTCTCTCTCATGCTCGAGCTGGCACTAAACTCAGCTATGCAACACTCATGTTTCATCATATGATTCGCTTTGGGACGGAATATTTTGGAGGTTCTCTGCCTTTTGGACCCCAGATCACTCATCTTCTGCGCTATCTTAATATTGATATGCATGATAAACTGCATCAATGCAATGTTCTGGACGATCTTCGTCCATAACATGTGCTTGCTAAGCTCGATGCACTCGTTGGCCCCGAAAGCCTATCACTGGCTCAGGGGGAGTCAACACTGGTCCTGCACAGTATGCCATTACTGGTCCTGCTCAGTATGCGTCTGGGAGACAGTATGCCATTACTGGTCCTGCTCAGTATGCGTCTGGGAGACTAGCTGGAGCACTAGTTGACGCTGCTGTAACTGTAATCAAACGAGAATACTCTGGTGAGAAAGAGCAGTCTGCCAAACTGAAACAACTTAGAAAGGAAGATCTAATGTGGCATAAGTTTGTATACGCGTCTGGATCAATAAACGATCCTATAAGTTCTGACTCTGAGTCAGATGAGTCTAGGGATGATGAGGAGGTGTCTGAGTATGAGTCCCCACCTAAATATCCTTTCTAGAAAACGTTTTAAGGGGAATAGTCGATGTTTTGTGGGAAGTTCTGTAATTTTCTTTTGCAAATCAGATGAATAAAACTTTGAAGGTTATGATTACTATGTAGTCGTAAATTATTCATCATTACATTATTTCCTCTTGGAGCAGACTGCACTTGGTGTTTGTTACATGTGTGCAGGGAGTTACCAGTAAAGGATTCGAGCCAGCGACAAGCTTAGGGGGAGTTTGTTGGAGGAAGCTGTGTCTGCTGGCATCGATAAAATGGGAAGGTTGACTGAAGGACACCGAGCAAGAACCAAAAGAAGAAAGCAGTAATGAGGCGGGAAATCAGGCAAGAGACTGATCCTATAGGATCTGAAGGCAACGGTTGAAAAAGAAGAGTATATAGGAACAAAGTCTGATTAGTGATTGATACCTTTCGAAAGAAAACTTTCAAATAGCAGAAACAAGGGTTTGGCTGTGTTAAAATTGAAAGAAACGAGAGGTGGCTATCTGGGAGTAGGGTTAGTCAAGGGCAATTGGAATTCCGGCGGGGAGCTGAATTCTGATTGGAAGTTCTGATCAAGTAACAGGGAGTTACTCAGAGATTGATTGTAATCTGTAATCCGAAACACAATATCATAATAACGTCAAAGGACTCAAAACAGAGTGCCTTTGACCGTGGACTAGTCGATACTGATTTATCAGTATCGGAAACCACGTAAAAATCCCTGTGTTCATCTTTGTTCTTCAATTTCCTTTATACTGTAATTCATCTCTGTTTTGCAGAGCAATTCTTTTTGCAGACTTACATAAGAACAGGAAGAACAAGATACAGGAGGCGGAAGAACTAATTCGAACGTCATCGTTTTACCAAGGAATCTTCGACAGGCCAAATATAAAAGACTAATTGGGCTTTTAGCCCAATAACCATTTCGACCTTCTTATTCTACTTTCATTCAGAATCAAATTAAGCATCGATCCTCATTCTAATCGATTGCTGCTCTTTCGATTCACCAAATTCTTGGGTTCTTGTAGGAGAAGCTCGAAAAGGCACCAGCAGCCGCACCAACATAAAGATGGAATGAAATTGGATTCTTCCACTTTGGTAGAAGTTACCAAAGGTGAAATTTTCAAAAGTTCCAAACCAGCTTGACAATAATATTCACAATAAAGCACAAGTTCAAACAATCAAGGAGTAGAGCTGAACAACCCCCAACAAAAAAAAAAAAACATGAGAGATGCTCTCGCCTCTCTCCTCGAAAGCTTGCGATGGCTGGGTGGATTGGTTCTGACGTTCTTTTCTTCCCTCTTCCTCTTCAGCTGGAAGAATCAAAGGGGCGGCTGCATCTGGCTGACTCAAGTACTGCTCGTGGATTCTGTTCGTGGGCATGGAAAGACTCGCCAGGTGCGCCGCCGATGTGGTCGACAACCAATGGTACCTATCAGCCTCTATGGGGTGGGGCGCTGCCCTGCTCGTTTGAAGCGCAAACGCAGCCGACCTTGGCACGAGGATCGCGGTCCCTCTCACGTTCACGTTGGGTTTCATGTAAATCCCAACCCTGCGAAGAAAAGCAGGCATGTTTGGCTTAGGGAGTGGAGATTTCGGCTTCCTTCCTCGGTAGACCTGGTAGGCGAGATCTCGCTATTATCCACGGCTGAATGGTGTTCAAATATTCCCGCATCGAAGGACCTGGTAGGCGTGAACTCGCTGTTAGCTATGGTCAGGGAACCTCTTATTGATATAAACAACAATGGGAAACGCAGGGACGTTCAGGTTGGGGAAGGTGGTCGTGATTTTGCTGCAGAGGCGGCGGAAATTCGTACGCTTCGTATTACTCAACCATTCTCTTCTCCGACGAGGCCAGCCGGCGAGTTGGCTGGGACTCCGATCGGTAAGGGAAAGAGGGGCGTATCTCCCCAACCCAGAATTATTGGGATTTGCCGTGATTGGGCGAACCAGCTCGGTTTGGATTTCCCTCGTATCTCGGAGATATTGGATTGGGGCCGATATATCAGCTCCCAACGAGATTATCCAAGCCGTGCTGCATCGTTTCTTTACATTCCTAATCCTAGTCAAACTCCAACTCCTAACTGTACCGTGACTCTACGTAGCGGCTTACAGTGGGACTTGGGGGATCTATTTATAATCCTTTCACAAACGCCGATTTCCTCAAGCTATCGGCTTTGTGGACGACCTGCTACCATTGAAGCTCCTGTTCTCTGGCCCTCGTTGAGAACCTGCTCAGGTAATTGGTTGCCCCCTAATGAAAGTTCTTTTATTCCTTCTTGCCTCGCTTTGTCGAGAATTTATTCATCTTGGCGATACCCCGATCCCGATGTGTTGGTGAGTGCGACGTCAGGGGGTGTATCTTTGGCAGCTAACCCGATTCGCCTCTCTTGTTGTCAGGAGTTGCAAATAATGGCCCACGTTTCGGATGATCAAGTGGTTCAATTCTCCCTCGAGGAGGTGCAATCTACCCGTTTTCGTGCTTCTCGTACCCTTCTGGGGCGGCTTTTCACCAACGATCACGTCACTACTATGGAGCTCCGCGGAGGATTGCTGGATGCCTGGAAGATACGCGGCCAACTCAAGGTGATGAAGACGAAACAGGGGCTCTTTGAGATCATAATGCCGAATGAGGAAGCCAAGCAATGGGCTCTTTCCATAAATCCGTGGATCATCAAGGATCAATTGCTGACTCTCCGCCAATGGTCCCCTGTTATCTCGAAAGGAGTATTCGAGGAGATGGCGAGAGCTCCCTTTCGTGTCCAGCTGTGGGGTGTTCAGGAGGACCTTTGTACCAAGCTGTTTGGGCAGAAGTTAATTGCCGCAACCATGGGCAAAGTTCTGGATTCAGGGATCTTTGCTTGCAAAGATTCTGGTGAGCGGTTTATCAAAGTTAACACAATTATTGATTTCTCAAAGCCCCTTCGATCGCAATTAATGGTGGTCTGTGAGGAGGTGGATAGCTTTTGGGTGAGCCTCAAGTACGAATTCTTGCCGAATTTTTGCTTCCGCTGTGGTCGAGTTGGCCATGCTCGCCGCGATTGTAGCTATGATCCACCTAATGGAAAAGAGCGGTTCGGACCGCATATGATCACCAAGCAAGTGGGACGAAAGATCTATGATGAGGAAGGAGCCGATCCCCTTCCAGGGGGTCCCAGAAGGTCGGTGTGGGTCAACCGCCAGCACCATAATAATATAAAGGCGGATCGAGGGGAGGTGGGCCCTGGGATGAAGAATGTGCCGCAGGCCGAGCCCTCGAGTGCTGCTGCAGGGGAGGCTCCATTGGCGGCGAAGTTGACTGTGAACAAAGGGAAGAGTAAGGAACGATCGCCGACCCGGCGTGGCAGTCCGGGGAGGGTGATCCTTCACCGTCACCCCAAAGTCCGCATTGGGAAGACTCGGCCGAAGTTGACACGTGCTAAGGAAGATGGCCCGCAACTTGATCCCTCCACCCACCCGAGGCACGCCAGCCCGCAGACCAACCCTCCAGCTTGTATGGAAGCGGAAGCCGGCTCAGAGGAGGATCAGTTCGTCAGGATCCAGGCTGAAACGCGGCGCCGTCGGCTCCTTTTGGATGCTGATTCTGATGATGATATGCTCGATGTACCGGGGGTGCAGGCTGGGGACGAGATGTTGCGAGCGGAAAACCCTAGTCCGCCGATGGAAGCTGATAATGCCCAGGGGAAGGGGAAACCTCGTCACACTAATAACCCTCGGGGCAAAGTGGATGGGAGCGAGGTCCCTCACAGGAAGGTCAAGGCGGCTTCAGGATTAAAGAAGGAGAAGCCCTCGGTGGAAATGGATGATGTTGGTCTTCCAGTGGGAGTTGGGGATGTACCGCGCAAGAACAGGAAACCCCGCCGATCGAAATCCCAGCCCCTAGCAAACGAGGGGGCGGGTGTTGTGCCACGCTCCATATCGGTGGCTGTGGGTATTGAGGATAAGGGGGCTGTGCCACGTCCCCAGGCGGCGACTGTGATAGGAGAAGTGAAGCCCAGAGTGGGGGTTGCTCGTGGCGGTCGGAAACTGAGGAAGGCTCACGGTGATGTCGCGGGCTCTAGCCTTGGCACTGGAGATTCCTCGCAGGCAGTGAAGGAAGGGATGGGAAGGGATAGTGATGTGCTGGGGGATGTGGGGCACCCTTGCCACCTTGGCACTCGAGATTCCTCGCAGGCAGTGAAGGAAGGGATGGGAAGGGATAGTGATGTGCTGGGGGAGGTGGGGCACCCTTGCCACCTTCCCGCCGGTGGCATTAGGAGTTCTCCCCTCTTGGCGGACGTGGGAGCAGCAGGGTCGGAGTCGGGGGAGGAGACGCAAGATTTTGTTATCAGGAAGAGAACCCCGTCGATGGCGTCACCTAAGAGCTGCAACCCATTGAAGGGCCGTGTAAGCCAAGTGGTAGCCGCCTTCGAGGTGGGTTTAAATATTCAGGATGCGGGAGGAGATCAGGAGGCGAAAGATTCTAAAGATGGGAAGTCAGGGGCTGAGAACGGCAGTGCTGCAGGTGTAGATATTGGGAACCTTGATGAGTATGGTTCCAATATGCACAATCCGCCGTCTGGGATTTTGAAGCGGCCTCTGGATCAAGTGGATGGGGAGGTGGGAGTTCCGCCAACTCCCAAAAAACAGTTTGTCGAAGATAATGTCGAGAATGAGAAGGTGGAGGAAGCCAGCCTGGAGTGGCCCCAGCCGGATAAATGAGGCTTCTTGCCTGGAATGTGAGAGGCATAGGGCCTTCTCTCACATTCCAAACGGCAGTGGGTCTGGTCCGTTCTAATAGCCCGGAGCTTGTGTTTTTTTTCAGAAACACGTTCTAGCCGGCGTGTTGTCTCCCTTCGTATGCGGGGCTTAGGATTTGATATTTTTCGGTGTTTTTTTGTTGATGCGGTCGAGGGGTCTGGTGGTTTAGTGCTGGCTTGGTCCCCCGATGTTGATGTTTCTATTTTTTATTCTTCCAGCTTCTGTATTTGCTCCCAGATTAATGAAGTTGGTTTTTCTTATATCGTGGTTTGTGTTTATATTAGCTGCTCGGTTACTCGAAGAACGGCCCAACTGGCCCACCTTCAGGCAGTCTGTTCTAATTTCAATCTTCCTTATGTGGTTATTAGTGACTTTAATACGATCCTGACTGATAGTGAAAAAGATGGGGGTAACCCTTGGAATGTCAATAACTCGGTAAGCTTGCGGAATTTTATTAATGAGTTGGGCCTCCATGATCCTGGGTACCAAGGGGACCTTTTCACTTGGACGAATAGGAGAATGGGCAGTGCTTGTATTAGGGAGCGGTTGGATAGAGCCCTCTGCTCCCAGTCCTGGTTAGATCGGTTCCCTGAAACCCTGGTTAAACATTTTACGGACCAAGGTTCCGATCATCGAGCTCTCCTCCTGGCGGATAAACCGTATAAACGCCACTGTCGGCCCCTCTTCCGGTTCGATGCCCGTTGGGCTGATAACCCTGAAGTAAGGGCGATGGTATCTTATGTCTGGAAGGAGACCATCCACGGGACCCCTATGTTCTGCCTTTGGGAGCGCCTGAAAAAACTTCGTCATCTCTTGTATGACTGGAGTAGAGCGGGTACGACGAATTCCTTACGGAATATCCGAACTCTTCAAGGGGAGATTGATAGGATCAAGACGATTCATCCCATTGACTGGGACGTGATTCGAGACATGGAGGTGGAATTGAGTCGGCAGTGGGAGGCGGAGGAATTATTTTGGCAGCAGAAATTCAGGGTCCACTGGCTAAAAAAGGGTGATAAGAACACCTCCTACTTTCATACTGTGACGAGAGCCCGTCGTAAGAGAAACTTTGTGGCTGGCCTTCGGAATGAGGATGGGGAATGGGTTTCTGATGAGGGTGGCAAAGCTGCCATAGCTACCTCCTTCTATCAGCACCTGTTTGCGTCAGAAAACCTGGTGGATAATATGACTGAGCGGGTGGCAGCCTTGCCTATTGCCCAGTGTGTTACTCCAGAGATGAATGCCGGCCTCACTGCTGAGGTTCTCCCCTCCGAGGTACGGAAAACCGTCTTTGCCATGGGTTCTAAACAGGCTCCGGGCTCTGATCGTTTCACGGGGAAGTTTTTTAAGGCATTTTGGGATATTGTGGGTGAATGAGTGACGTCAGCAGTGTGCTCCTTTTTTGCTACTAGTCGGATGCTCCGCAGTTTCAACCATACGTGGCTAACGTTGATTCCCAAGGTTGATAATGTGGAAACTATGAGGCAGCTGCGTCCTATAAGCCTTTGCCAGTTCGTTTATAAGATTATTACCAAAATTATGGCAGAAAGGCTTGCCTGCCTGTTGCCGGTGATTGTTTCTGATGGTCAGAATGCCTTCATCCGGGAGCGTCAAATCGTGGAGAATGTGCTCCTGGGGCATGAATTGATGCATTATCTTAAGATCAAAACTCGGGGAAAGAAAGGGTACATGGCTCTAGAGGTTGACATGGAAAAGGCCTATGATAGAGTCGAATGGCCCTTTCTTCTTGCGGTATTGGATAAGATGGGCTTCAATTCTACCTGGCAGGGGTGGATTCGGGAATGCCTCCAGTCTTCATCTTTCTCAGTGCTTATGAATGGCACTCCTTCGGGTTTTTTCACTCCTTCGAGGGGGCTTCGGCAAGGGGATCCTCTCTCGCCGCTTCTGTTTGTGCTCTGTACGGAGGGCTTCGCGGCCCTTCTTCGCAAGGCTATATCAGAAAAGAAGTTGGAGGGCGTGAAAGTGGCCCCTCGTGCGCCTCGTATCTCGCATTTGTTCTTTGCGGATGACTCTTATTTATTTTTGCGAGGTACTCTCCAGGAGTGTGAAAACTTGATCGAGGTTCTAAATGAATATGAGGAGTTAAGTGGGCAGCGGGTGAACTTGGATAAATCGGCAGTTTGCTTCAGTAAGAATGTTGTCCAGGAGGATAAGGAGTTTTTGGCTGCAATTTTAGGTGTTGGGGCGGTGGGAGTCCATGATAAGTATCTGGGGTTGCCTACGCTTATCGCTCGGTCGAAAATGGCTACGTTTAGGTACTTGGAGGAGAAACTGTTGGACCGTCTTCAGGGGTGGAAACGGAAAACCTTATCTTGGGCTGCTAGGGAGACGTTGATTAAATCAGTTGCTTTGGCTTTACCTCTGCACGTGATGTCTTGCTTTAGACTCCCTCTCTCCCTCTGTCGGCTTTTAGACAGGCACGTGGCCAGGTTTTGGTGGGGTGATTCTGCGGAGCATTCTCGCATTCGTTGGGTATCTTGGCGGAACTTGTGCAGGAGTAAACATGAGGGAGGCTTGGGGTTTCGGCGTTTTGAGCAATTCAATCAGGCTTTGCTTGCTAAAATTGGGTGGCGTCTCCTTAGTGAGCCCCGTTCCCTTTTGGCTCAGGTTTATAAAGGGAAGTACTATCCGAATGGGTCTTTTCTGGAGGCATTGCCGAGATCCAGACCCTCATGGGGATGGCAGAGCATCTTGTTTGGTAGACAGCTACTGGTGAAAGGGTTGAGGTGGCAAATCGGGAATGGCCAGTCAGCTCCCTTGCTGAATTCTGATTGGATTCCTCGGTTCCAGAATGAACCCCCAAGTTATAACCCTCGGGTGCTGTCTGAGGGGGGGGGGGGGGGGGAGCCTCGGGTCGCGGAGGTCATGTGTTCTGGGGGGGGGGCTGGGATGATGATAAGTTAGGACAATGGTTTGACCCGGGTACGTGTGCGGCCATTCGGGCTATCCCTCTTCCGCGCCAGAATGTGGAGGATCGATTAGTCTGGCATGCGACGACGGATGGGGTCTTCACGGTTAAGTCTGCGTATCATTTGGCGATGGATATTGATAGGAGACATGGAGTCTGGCGATCCATGGCGGGATGGATGGATAGGTCAGCCTGGATTCGGGTTTGGGATGCTAATATCCCTCCCAAGCTTAAAATCTTTGTCTGGCAGATCTTGAATCGCATCTTGCCTACTACGGAGGCTCTGTTGGAGAAGAAGGTGGAGGTGCATCCTCGCTGTCCGGTTTGCTGGGCTAGCAAGGAAACTATGGAGCATTTATTTTTGGAATGTCCTGTGGCTCGTGCCCTTTGGGATCTTTCAGGTCTGGCATACTTGGGGGAGGGGCTTCCTCGCCACACTTTTCCGTTGTTTCTAAAGAAATTGATGGCTCTGATTCACCAGCCTACTCTGTTTATGGCTTTGGTTGCTGTTCTTTGGCGTATATGGCGATCCCGGAACTGGGTGGTCTTTGAGGGCAAACAGTTTGGGTTATCGGCTTTGATGCGTCAGTTTCAGCAACAGTATGAAGAGTGGATCCGGTTGCCAGTGGACCCTAGTCCGAGCAGGCCTCCCTGTGCGCCGGTTCCCCAGACTTCGATCCATATGGGCCTGGCTGATCGGGTGGTGTGTATGTGGGATGGTGCTGTTCGGCGGGGGTCGCATTCGGCTGGTGGGGTCGTTCTTCTTACACCTTCAAGAGATGTTTGGTTGGCTAAGGGGGTGTGGCTTCCTGGGATGGACGATTCGCTTGTGGTGGAGTTGCTGGTTTTGCGAGAGGCCGTTTGGTGGTGCTTGTCGTTAGGTCTGTCGGAGGTGCTGTTTGAAGGGGATGCTAAGGTTATCATTGATAAGCTCAATCTTGGAGATGCTAGAGATAGCCGAGTTGGAGTTATTTTGGAGGAGCTTAACCAATATTTTCATAGCACGTCTGGTTTTAGTGTTCGATTTGTTGGCCGGAGTAGTAATAGGGTAGCCCATTCGGTGGCTCGTAAAGCCCTTTCCTTGTACCCGACTGCAAGTCGTTCTTTTGATTTCCGGGCCTGACTTTCCTCCAGGATGTAATTATCTTCTGTTTCAAATCAATATATGATTATCTTTTGTTAAAAAAAAAAAAAAAGGAGTAGAGCTGAACAGCAAACTGAGGGGGGGAACATAGACAAGGAAGGGGAGGTGGTCGTACATTTCTTCTCACGAGACTAATCCAGTTACGAGCCACTCCTTTCATCCTCTGGACAATATGAGTAAGTAAACTTGTTGATAAAATCATTGCAATACTGATGGCCTCCACAAAGGTTTTCTTGCTGTCAACTTCGCCACAAGATGAATAGAAAATGTCCAAGATGATCACTTTACATCTGCAATTCCATTCCATTCTTCTAAGAACCATGGACCCTCAACAAAATTTCAAATCACCAACATATCTTTCGCATCAAAAGCATTTGCAACAAGGTCTCCAGGTGAGGTGGCTGGATGAAATCAAATCACTGACAACTATGAATAAGCTGCATCTGCAGAGGAATCCACATTGCGACCATTGTAAACAATTAATAGTTCCTCACGAGACTAATATGAGTAAGTAAACTTGTTGATAAAATCATTGCAATACTGATGGCCTCCACAAAGGTTTTCTTGCTGTCAACTTCGCCACAAGATGAATAGAAAATGTCCAAGATGATCACTTTACATCTGCAATTCCATTCCATTCTTCTAAGAACCATGGACCCTCAACAAAATTTCAAATCACCAACATATCTTTCGCATCAAAAGCATTTGCAACAAGGTCTCCAGGTGAGGTGGCTGGATGAAATCAAATCACTGACAACTATGAATAAGCTGCATCTGCAGAGGAATCCACATTGCGACCATTGTAAACAATTAATAGTTCCTCTGCATGTTCTGGATACATGAATACGAACTTTTCCACGAATCTTTCATTTGTAAGACTCATAACAGACCTAAAGCTTGGCTTCTTCTTGAACAGAAACTTTGATTCCATAGTCTTCAAAACTCGATATCGAGGAATAACTCTTCCCTCCATGCTATACATCAACAGTGCAGGACTACGAACCACCATCTCCTTTGTCAGATTCACGGTGTTCAAAAAGAAATCCAAGCCAGAACTTAACTTCTCATCACAGCGACCCAGCATGGTCGGAGATCTTCTGAACATTGCAATGCATTCACTCCTTGAAAACCCAAAACCCTCGAATACAGCAAACTTCCGGTCAAGTGTTGCCACGCTGAAGGCACTAACAGCACACATCCCATATATAAACATCCGTGATTCCACTGAAAACCCCAAATCCAACGTCCTCGAAACAATGTCTCTAACTTTACAATCTGTCCTAATGAACAACCTAGGCTGCATCTTCAACAGCATCGAGAGCTGAGACCCAACAATGCCACAGCTCTGCAACAAAGCAACGTTCGACAGCAATCTAGAATGTGGGCACATAAATGCAAGCCAACTGCATTTTTCAATAGCCTTAAGCACATCCTTCTGATGGAAAGTTTCCAGCAAAATATGAACTCGAGGACGCAGCTTCTTCTCCAGACTAGCAGTTAACACAGCACCATTCTTAGAGAGGAACTTAACAAGACGAGGACTCTCGAAACCCAATTTCTGAAACAGCTCGATCTTGGGTTTAAGGTTCTTGTCAACGTTAGCGAAGAGAATCTGCGGAGCCCCAGAGACAGTAGACTGAATACAGTCAAGAGAGAACCCTAGGCCTCGCAGGAACTCGAACAAAGCTTGGGGCTTTTGGGAAGATTTGAGACGGGGAAATCGAGCAGCGATGGAGAGGGCTTTGGTTTCGGGGAATTCGAATTTTGTAATCAGACAGTCAACTAAACATGTAGAGCTTGAACTTGTTGACCGTCCTGCCAGTTCAGAGAAGGGGGAAATGGGGAAAACCCCCACCGGAATCAACCATCGATTTCCGAGACGGGAAGTCGATAGTGCCTTCAGCGCTAGCATTGTGAGTACAAAGTGACAGCGACGCGAGCTTCAGCGACCAGGTTCAGCTTCGAAGGAAATGATGCCTTTTGACGCCAATGAATCAGAGACGGAGCGATGGCGGTCCGACCTTCGGTGACTAATGGCTACATCCAGCTTCAGAGGAGACACGACGACCTTCGGAGGATGGCCAACACGCCGCTAAAAGCATATGACTTGGCGCCGCGGCCGATTGACGGAGCAACAAGAGCGGCGTCGCGATCAGGCAGCAGGCTATTTAGAACAGCAGGCGAAGCAGAAGCGAGTCAGTGACTGTACCGACCCCGGGGGTTTATTCGGGTTGGCTGCGACGGGGCGGCAAAGAAAGGAGATTAGGGATTTTGAGATGATAGAAATGTTCCAGAAAGTAGAAACCCTACGGCTCCACTCGGTCCAACCTTAATACACGAAACCGGCATTAAATTGATAGGCGATTTTAGTGGTAGGAAGCCGCTGAATCAGATTTTATAACATACTAGCACAGGGCCCGGCCGCTTGGCCGGAAAAGTTTAGACAAAAAATATGCATATGTAAAATGCTTATAAGATTGATATCTTTAGGGATTTAGGCGCTATCGCCAATAAGGAAGGAGAAGCCGAGTCGTCGCCGTCGAGAAGGTGGTCACCCTGCCGTTGTCGTCGTCGCACCCAGAAGGAGGAAGAAGGTCTCGTCGAGGAAGTCTTCACCGCCCGCTTGGTTGACGGACATCGACGGAAACCGTAGCGGTTATTTCCGGAAGGGAGCAGGACTTAGTTTTAAGAAGGAGAAGGTGGTGCCGGTCGACGGGACGAGGACGAGAAAGAGCGTGCCAAGAGATCCCCTCCGGCTCCCAAGTGCCGCTTCGTTTACAGAAGCGTCTCCATGCACTGGTGGACTGGGCGATTTGAAGGCCTTTGTGGGATAATATGCACCCATCCTCGCCTCCGCCACCGTGCGTTTCAGCAGTTTGCTGCCTGACGCCATTGTGCGTCGCCGATTCCGTCTTTCCTTCACGCATATAATTCTTTTTCTGGGGGATTCTACCTCTCTTTTTGCATGATCTCAAAGGAGTTGCGGGCTGAGGTCCCGGGACCGGCGAATCTTTCCGACGGATGGCCACTTTTTTCGGCGGCCGCAATAAGTGCGACGGTCACAATCTTTTGCAGTTGCTTCTCTCATTCGTGGGCAGACGGTTACAACTCACGGTGGATTCCAACCGTCCCAAGATAAGTACTTTTAATTTTTCCCTAATTCTTTTTGTGTTCCGGTTTTCATAATTACCGTTTCATTTCCCTTATCATAATTCCACGTTTGTTTATTTTTTGATTGAGTTTGCCACGTTCTAAACTGCTTTTCCTAGAGTTTTTTTATTTATCAAATCTCTTATCCATTTTATTTAGTTTCTATTGTGTTTTTGGTCCTATTTCCGTCGTTCTCTGATTATGGTTGGAAATTAGGGATGTATTTATCCCTTGCTTGTGGTTGCATCCTGTTTTGTGCACTTTTTCCCTTCTTGTTCTCTATAACAAATTAAATGGCTTTCTCAAAGGAATGGTTGCTTTTTCGGTAGGCATTCCATATACACTTCTCATTTGGATTTTTAGACTCAGTTGTTGGTGGGAATGGCTTTCCTGCTTGGTACCTTTAGTGGCCGGTTGGGTAATCCTCGACGAGGAAGCGTTTTGCTTGAGATTGTAAGAGCAAGGATTTTGACGCAGTTGTTCTCAATGTTTATAGATTTCTACCTTTTGCGGCTATGTGTTTGCTCATTTTGTAGGTACAGCTGCTAATAGGGCTGCCCATTTTGTGGCATAACATGCCCTTTCATCGGAAGTTCGACTATTTGTCGACTACCGCACGGTGTTTATCTTTTGTTCTTTGACTCTGTATTGGCTAGGGATTTACCTGGCTACTGTCTATGTTAAAAAAAATGCTTATAATATAATAAGAAGTTGGCCAATTACACTTTTATAATCATAACTATTCGCGTTGTGACTAATATAGCCACTTTTTAAAAAATACACAAATATAGCCATTTTTTCAAACTTGTTTGACAATTTTAGCCATTTCCGTTACAAACTTTAACATCGTCACTAACACCGTCAATAACCTTTACGTGTCGCTGAGGTGGATGCCACCTGAACGACAAGTCATCGCCAACTGGACGTCTTTATGCCACGTCATACTAAAAGTAATTTTTAACAAAAAATAATTAATTTTACCAAAAACACAAAATAAAAGATTTTTCAATGAGGATTTGATGGTGAAAATGGTGGCAGGTGCCCCCAATTAGGGTTATTCAGTTTCTGGATCTGAAATTTTTCAAGGAGTAAGTTCAATGGCGATTAGGGTTCTTCAATTTTTTGATCTGGGATTTTCGCGGACAAGATGTGAGAGGAAAGGGGAGGCCAGATCGAGCAAGACGATGAGAGAAGAGGAGGAACGGCCGTCATTCCCAGTTGGCCACCGTCGCCGCTTTGTAATTCTCGCATAAGTTGTCCACAACGACTTTCGCGATGGGATAAATCGATCCAGTGGAGAAGTCGGAAGGAACTGAATAAATCGCGGAGCTTCGCGACAGTGGCGGCGTCGGAGGAGATTGTTGGAGTTGGCGACCTTGACTCCTTGGCTGATGGTGACTCCTTGGCCTCCTCCTAGCTCCAAGGAGAACTCCTCTCCCTTTTCTCCTCCACAACGGAGCTCCGCAATCTCGTAGGCATTCAAGTTGCTCTACATAGTAAGCAATTGTGCATCGTACCTATTGTAGGGTTTCAGCGGCAGAGGCAAGCCCCGCTCCCCGCCGCCATTATTGGAGGAAGTGGAATCATAATCAGGGGAAGAAGCGTTTGAGAGATCTCTACCGTGGGAGATGATCTGGGTCGTGGATGTATGGACGATGAGGAAGAGAATCGGGATGGGTCTCCTGGGTTGGGTAGATGGAAAGAAGGGGAAAAGAAGATGATGAAGGACAGTTTTCAATTTTTATTTATTTTTATTTTTACTTTTTAGTGTAATTATAATAATAATAAGAAAGGATACTTTCCACCTAGGATTGGTTTAAATAAAAAATTGCCACGTCACCAGAAAACGTTAGTACAGTCAACATTTAAGATGTTTTCGTTAAAGTTTTGGACGGAATGGCTATACGAGTGTATTTTTCAAAAAGTGGCTATATTTGTCACAACGCGAATACTTATGGCTATGAAAGTGTATTTTGCCTAAGAAGTTCTTGCAATTGTTCAAAAAAGAAAAGGAAAACATATACATAGTTGATTTTCACTACTTAAGAAGGTCATATAGTAAAGATTAGAGTTGCTTCCCTAAAACATACATAATGAACCCTCATAGTGAAAGATAAAGATTGGTCTCTGATAGAATTTAGTATCTCTCCATATTGTTTATCCCAGTAGGCATCACTTTTGTTGATCACAATGGGGGAATGGATATGAATTTGTATGATTTGAAATAGATCGGACATGATACAAAATTGTCACTAATAGTGAGTTAGACAGTGTATTGTGCACATGTGGACTCCCAAATGACTTTCATGTCGCGGATATGGCGCAACAATGTAGTAGTTTCCCTATAGTAAAAGTTTAATTTTGAATGAAATAAGTTGAAATAATGAAAATGTATGATTAGTATAAAGCATTGAAGAAAGGGTGATAAAAATGTAGTTTCCGAATTACCATTATTGAAGAATGTAAGCGCAATACAGTTAGGTTTGCAATTGAACACATTTTTGCTCGTTCTTTGGCAACTTCATAGGAGTCCTCTTTAATGATGTATCTAACTTTTCTTAGTCTAACATAAGAAATGACATATAGCGAGGTTGTATTTTTTTATAGCTATGCGCATGTATATAACTTCTTTGCATAACGAAATTTACTCACGGGTTTAGCAGTGGGTGCAATGAAGGTCGATTTAAGTTGAAAAATAACTTGGATGGTGAGGATTATGCGAGTAATACTTGCCTAACAATGATGAAGCAGCTTAGTGAAGAAAGGATGTTGTTCTTCTACGGGAGAAATAAAAATTAGATTGTGCAACAGTAAATAAAGCCATAGAAATGGCATGCCTCTTGTTTGGTCCACATATACTGAAGAAATTACACATACCACAGTTATTTGAGATTGAGCAGGTATTAAAGCTTCAAATTCAGAAATGAATGAGCCTTTCAATACCAATCGTATCACAGGGCCCCTAAAATACACGAGGAAATAAAATGACTTAGGCATAACATGTGAAGCATGCAAATGAACATCAAAGTGTTGCCTATATAAAAGTGCATAAATCAAAGAATGAGAGTTGCTTATGATAAATACATAATCAATCTTCACAATAAAAGAAATTTATTATCCTTTAGTAAAGTTCAATGTATCCTTCTACCAAAAAAAAAAGTTCAATGTATCCCTAAAATCCACCCCTCCCCCCAATTTTAATCTTTTTTGAATGGGAGAGAGCATGTTGGACATTGTCGCCGGTACTTAAATAAAAAATGCATTGGTTTCTAGTTGGTGTTAAAGCGACAGATGTTTAACACAATCAACAATGTAGTGATTCCCATGCAGCTCTCGCCATCATGATAATCATAATTCTCAAAAGAGCCTATTCAAATACGGGAGATGTGAAGGCCGATTCAAGTTGAAAATAACTTGGATGGTGAGGATGATGCGAGTAATACTTTTCTAACAATGATGAAGCAGCTTAGTGAAGAAAGGATATGATTCTTCTACAGGAGAAATAAAAATTAGATTGTGCAATAGTAAATGAAGCCCTAGAAATGGCATGCCCAATGCTTGGTCCACATATACTGAAGAAATTACGCATACCACTGTTATTTGAGATTGACCAGGTATGAAGGCTTCAAATTCAGATATGAAGGAGCCTTTCAATACCAATCGGATCACAGGGCCCGTAAAATACATGAGGAAATAAAATGACTTGGACATAACATGTGAAGCATGCAAGCGAACATCAAAGTGTTGCCTATATAAAAGTTC